GCCAAGTTCCGGTAACTGTTAAAAGAGAGGTTGAGCTGATTGGGGGCCATCGGGCTGAAGTCAAGCCGACTGAAAGAGTTGATGATGATGAAGTGGAACTAAATACAGATATCATGTCAGAACAGGAGAAAGACCAATATTTGAAGCCAATGATTGATTTCCTAAAAGTAAGTGTTTGCGCCCTGCTTGGGAGAAGGTGTCTAGCTTAAGCCCTGTGACAAAGCACTATTGGGTGCAATGGGTCCAGTTAAAGCTTGCAGATGGTATTATTGTACGGAGATTGGAAACTACCGATGGGAAAGTGACGACCTGGCAAACAGTTATACCAAGGAAGTTATGGGAAGCTGTGCTGCGTCGATCACATGATACTGTAACAGGAGGACATCTCGGAATTAGGAAGACATTGAGTCATCTACGACAAAGATTTTATTGGTTAGGTATGAGGCGAGAAGTGGAAGAATGGTGCCAGACATGCAGTACATGTAGTGCTAAAAGGGGACCGAAGCATAAGGGCTGCCCACCTTATGAAGAGTTGCCTGAGAATATGTCAGAGTTTGTGGAAGTGTTATCAGAAAGGATGGATGATATCCACCATCAAGTGCATTTAAACTTGAAAACGTCTGCTGATTCGATGAAGTTAACTTATGATAAGAGATCTACTGAAGTCTGCTTTGCACCTGGAGACAAGGTATGGTTGTATGATCCCAGGAAGACAAAAGGGAAGTCTCAAAAGTTGTCTTCTCAATGGGAAGGCCCCCTATGACATAGTGGATCGTCTCTCAGACGTGACTTTCCGGGTAAAATGTGGTCGGCGAGGTAAGCCAAAAGTGGTGCATGCCAACAGGCTTTGGCATTATCACGGTCCAGGACATTTCAGTTGGGACGAAGTGAACAACAGAACAAATGACACTGCTGAAGACGTGCCACCGTCAAAGAAGAAACTCTACTCAGTTTTGAGAAGGGAAACGGTGAAGCCCTTGATGAAATTACTACCATTGATGTGACTGTTACCGATGATAGGAAATTTACTGATGAAGCAGATGAACCCCACATGAAGCAGAAGCCAAAGAGACGGAGACCAGTACGGAAGAAGATACGTCCCGTAAAATTAAGAGACTTTGTTGGATTGTAATTTTGTGTTTGTAATTCTGTACAGTTAATTAAGTTATTGTTAATTGTTATTGGTTTATTATATGTGGTTATTGTTCGGGACGAACAATACTAAGGAGGAGGCAGTGTTGCGTCATCCAGGTCACGTAACTGGTGTGGCGCCACCTATTTTCTAGCACTATCCTGTACCTTGGCGGATGCTCTGGTATTTGCTGGATATGGGGTGGCGTGGTATATAAAAGAGGGTGGCCACGTGACGGGGAATAATGTGTGTGTAGATAGTGAATAATTGAACTGCAGTCAGAAGTATTGTTGACGTTCGTTGATATAGCGTTTGTTTTAGCGCGATTGTTGAAAATAAGTGTATCGTAAAGTTATATTCAGAAAGAATAAACCAGTTTTATTTAGTAAGGACTTGTGTCGCTAAAGTTTCGTCAAAAACGAAGTTACGGAAAGTTAATTAACAAACGGAGACGTAACAATATATACAACCCCCAACTTTTATTGCGGCTTAACTCACGTGTTAAAGAAAAAATAAAAGAATTCTTCATGATACTGTAAATTTATCTTCTTAGTGAAACCTAGTTTTAGTTATTTCACTAATGTTATTATTCTGTAGTGAGAACAAAATATTTTGGATGAAATGCTAATGGTCTTCACATTAGAACAGTGGCTTTCAAAATCACCCTTTCAGTAAGATCAAATATCATTCTCCATAGTGTGATTCACTTTTGAATGTCAATACAACAATATCAGATTATTTAATTATGAAAAATATTTTATTTTACATGAAAAATCATGTTACTGTTGAATTACAAGACGTAAAAACGTGTATATAACTTGGTACTAGCAGGGGTTGTTGTATGTCTTCAATGTGTTGTTGTATCTAGCATGGATCTGGCAGGGGTTGTTTGTAAGTTTTTAATGTGTTGTTGTATGTAACTTGGTTCTACAGGGTTTATTGTAAGTCTTTAATGTGTTGTTCTATCTAACATGGTACTGGCAGGTTTTTGTAAGTTTTAATGTCTTGTTTTATATAACCTGGTACTGCTGGGGGTTGTTGTAAATCTTTAACTTGTTGTTGTATTTAACCTCGTATTGTCAAGGGTTGTTGTAAGTCTTTAATGAATTGTTGTGTCTATCATGGAACAAGCAGGGTTTTCAAAAGTCTTTACAGTGTTGTTGTATCTAACCTGGTACTGGCTGTTTGTTTGTAAGTTTTTAGTGTGTTCTTGTATCTGACCTGGTACAGGCAGGGATTTTTATTAGTCTTCAATGATAGGTGTTGTTCATAGGTCTTTAATGCGTTTTTTGTATCTAACATGGTACTCGTATGGGTTCTTGTAATGAGTTGCTGTATCTAACGTCTTTCTGGAAGGGGTTGTTCGTAAATCTTAAATGTATTATTGTATCTAGCTTCGTACAGGCACGTGTTGTAATTCCTCAATGGGTTGTTGTATCTTACCTTGTACTGGCAGGGAGGTTCGTAAGTGTATAATGTGTTTTTGTATCAATACAGGAACTGGTGGGGTTGTTGTAAGTCTTTAATGTGTTGTTTTATGTAACCTGGTACTGGCTGGGGAGGTTCGTAAGTCTATAATGTGTTGTTGTATGTAAACTGTTTCTACAATTATTGTTCACAATTCTTTAATGGGTTGTTGTATCTAATCCGGTAATGGCATGAGTTGTTGTAAGTCTTCATTTTGTGTTTGTTGTATCTAACCTGTTACTGGCAGGGTAGGTTTGTAATTGAATAATGTGCTTTTGTATCAATCCAGGAACTGGTGGCGTTGTTCTTAAGTCTTTATTGTGATGTTGTATCACACCTAGTTCTAGAAGGGTTTATTCGGAATTCTTTAATATGTTGTTGTATCTAATCTGATTCTGCCAGGGGTTGTTCGTAAATCACAAATTTGTTGTTCTCTCTAACCTGGTACTCACAGTGTTTTAAGGCTATAATGTATTGTTGCATCTATCCTGGAACTGTTAGGGGTTGTTCTAAGTCTTTAATGATTTTTGAATCTAACCTGTTACTTGTAGGGGATGTTGTAAGTCATACATGTGTTGTTGTATTTAACGTTATTCTGGCAGGGGTTGTCGTTTAGTCTTCAATGTGTTGTTGTATATAACCTGGTAATGGCACCACGTTAGATACAACAACACATTAAAGAATTATGAATAACTCCGGCCAAAGTTACAACTACACATTAAAGACTTACAACATCCCCAACAAGTTCCAGGATAGATACAATAGTGCATTAGAAATTGAAAAAAAACCGGGTAGATTCAAAAACACATTAAACTCTTACAAAAAACCACTGTCATTAACAGGATAGATACAACTACATTTTATAGTCTTACAACAACCCCTGTCAGTTCCAGGATAGATACAACAAAAACTTGAAGACTTCCAACAACCCCTCCCAGTATGGTACTGGCAGGGTTTGTTCGTAAGTCATGAATGTAATGTTGTATCTAACTTAGTAATGGCAGTGGTTGTTGTAAGTCTCACATGGTTATTGTATCTAACCTGGTTCTGGCAGGTGATGTTCTTTAGTCTTTAATGTGTTGTTGTATCTAACCTTGTACTGGCAAGGGTTGTTGTAAGTCGTCAATGTGTTGTTGTATTAACCTAGTTCTGGCAGGTGTTGTTCGTAACTATTTAATATGTTTTTCTAAGTAACGTTGTTCTGGGAGAGGTTGTTCTTTAATCTTAAATGTGTTCGATAGAATAAGATATTAAAAACTTAAAAAGAACATCTGGCAAAACCAGGTTAGCTACAGTAATTCCGACCAGTACCTTGTTAGATACAACAACATATTATAGAGTTACGAACTTCTCATGGTAGTACCAGGTTAGACACAATAACGCATTAATGACTTACGAACAACCACTACTAGTACCAGGTAAGATAGAGAACACATTCAAGACTAAAGAAAAACACCTGCCAGTACCAGCTTAGATACAACATTATATTCAATTTTTACAAATACTCCTGATAGTACCAGGTTAGATAAAATAATACATTAAAAACTTTCAATGACACATGCCAGTACCAGGCTAGATAGCACACCAATTTAAAGACTTCCAACAAACACTGGCATTACCAGGTTAAAATACAACAACGCATGTAAGATTGACAACAACCCCTGTTACTACCAGGTTAGATACAAAAACACATTAAAGACTTACGAACAATCACTGTCAGTACCCATTTAATTCCGAACAACCACTTTTAGAACTAAGTGTGATACAGCAACACAATAAAGACTTAAGAACGATACAGAAACAATTTAATGAATTACGAACAATTACTGTCAGTACCAGGCTAGATATAACACACTAAAATTACAAAAAACCTGCTAGTACCAGATTACATGAAACAACACATTAAAGTTACCTGGTACTGGCAGGGTTTGTTCGCAAGTCTTTAATGAGTTTTGTATATAATCTGTTACTGGCAGGGGTTCTTGTAAGTCTTTATTGTTTCATTGTATCTAACCTGGTAGTGTCAGGGGTTGTGTGTAAGTCTTGAGTGTAATGTTAAATCTAACCTTGTTCTGACATGGGTTGTTCCTAAATATTTAATGTGTTATTGTATCTAATCTGGTAATGATAGGGGTTGTTGTAAGGCTTAATGTATTTTTTAATCTAACCTGGTATTGGCATGGCAGGTTCGTAAGTCTTTACATTGTTGTGGTATCTAACTTGTTACTGGCATCACCTAGGGTAAGTCTTTAACGTTTTTTTTGTATCTTACATGGTACACTTGGAGGTAGTTTTAACTCTATAATGTGTTGTTGTATCCAGCCTAATACTGGCAGGTGTCGTTCTTAAGTCTTTAATGTGTTGTTGTATCTAATGTGGTACTAGAATGAGTTCTTTTAAGTCTTTAATCTGTTGTTGTATCTAACCTGGTATAGCAAGTGGTTGCTAGAAAGACTTGAATATAATGTTGTATTTAACCTGACACTGGCAGGGGTTGTTGTAAGTCTTTCATGTTTTGTTCTACCTAACCAGGTTCTGTCAGGGGTTTAACTTTAGTCTTTAATGTGTTATTTATCTAACCTGATAATGGCAGCGGTTGTTCGTAAGTGTTTAATGTGTTGTTGTATCTAACCTGGTACTGGCACGGTTTTTCGTAAGTCTTCAATGTAATGTTTTATCTAATCTGGAACTAGCATGGGTTGTTTGTAAATTTTTAATATCTTGTTGTACACAACAACAAATTAAAAACTTACAAAATAACTGACAGTTCCAGGTTGGATTAGATACAACAACAACACATTGAAACTTACCACAACCCCTCCCAGTACCAGGATAGACACAACAACACATTGAAAACCTACCACAACCCCTCCCTGTACCAGGTTAGATC